TCCCCCACCCACTCCTCTTAGACTGTCATAACCCAAATTTGTTACAAGCTATACTTCACTGATTAAAAAAATGGGCTGGGCATGGTGGCTCACACCTATAATCTCAGCACTTGGGAGGCCTGTTTCCACAAAAATGTGAAAGAAAAAAGTCTAATGGTTCTCCCCACGCTTACGTAACCACATTCAAATTCCTAACCGAAGTAAGATAGAAGCCTTCAAATTAAAATTTCAAATTAGTAATCGTTAACTCCTACTATACACTCCATTCTACCACCAGGCATTGTACAGGAAACTGAAGCAGAGGTTAAGTCACGTAAGCCGGGCCACACAACCACCCAGGCAGTTTGGCTAAGCTGGTGCTCTTAACCACAGCATGAGGCTACCTAATTAATGTTCATTCAACTCTACCAGCTGATGTGAATTCCTAGTCAATCTCCTGGAGTCATATGGAGACCTGTGTCAAACATCGTTTCTAGGAAGTCTGATAACCCTGATCTGTCACTCCTGGTGCCACACCTACTGACCCACAGTACTTTTGTTTCACAGTACAAAATCAGTAGGGACACCATTTTGTTACAAAAACAAGATCCACATGTTTACTCATCAAATACTCAAGCCTACCAAGTGCAGGGAATTAAGCTAGATACTGGGGACACCTAGCCAAACTATAATATAGTAAGCCAAACACTGTTGAGGGCAACAATAACACATACAAAAAATTTGACCAGTTACTGCTAAGGGTCTCATAAGAGCTCGATCCAGCTGTTACCTTAAGGTGGTGATGTCTGTGCCACAGCCAACACTGGAGTGCAAGTGAAGGGAAAAGTTTATAGAAAGGTCTTTCTTAAGTACTACTAAGAAATTCCACATTTTTTGTCAGATTAGATTTGCATTCTTAAAGGACTCTGGCTCCAGAGTGAACAAAGACATACCAGTAAGGAGGCCTGTGGAGTCCACATCACAGATAGTAGCTTAGACATGTTTGAGAAGTAAAACAGCAAAATTGGCAATGAATTAAGTGATGAAGTGAATAGAGGTACAGAAGAAAGGCTAACAATAATCATAATCGTAACTAATCATTACTCTTGAATTCCTCCAAGGCACTTAATTTTTTTTTGATAGTATGATGGTCATCTGTGTCAACTTGAATTCAATCCTATGAACTCTTGTGTGCAAACTGAAAAATGGAAAATGGTAGACTTTTACAAAATTTGTTGTGAAACTCCAACTGTTTACTGAAGATGTGTATGATCAAAATAAACATCTAAAGTAGAACAGGCAGTATATGTATATCCTTTTATCCTTTAGTATATCCTACACCTTTAGAAACATTTTTAAAATACTAACTGCAATTTAAAACTAAAGTTTGCAAAATTTGTTCCAATGTATTCCAAAAGTAAAGCTGAAAAGAGTAGTCTTGTAAAAAGCTAATACCTAACCTGAAAGGCTTCCGCTTTTATTCCCTACCCTACCGTTTGAGTACTGAAAAACAAAAAAAGGCTGGATTACAAAAACCCATCTCAGCATGCTTTTCCAAAACAAATTAGAACTTCAATTTCCAAGACTCTTTTGAAAAAGCACCATTAACACAATGCAAATCAGAACATCTAATAAAATTAACAACAAACCAAGGCAATCCTGTTACATAAATTAACCCATTTATTACAGGCTAGTCATGTCTGCAAAGGTGAGCTTCTACTGGTCTTTCAATTCCTTCAGTCTTCTGATGGCGGACTTTACTGTGACAGCAGAAGTGGTGCTGGAAAGAAAAATTCAGTTTCCAATATAATTAAGCACGTTAACATATGAAATGGCAAGTAAGTAAATCTGCCTCATTTTCATGTCACAATCATCAGAGCAGTCCATAGACTGCTCTGTCAATGCTTTTCTGCAGTTAATCCAAAGAGTCAACTAACATTAGACTATTGCTCAGAAATCAGTGGCTTCTAAACTACATGTCGGCGTCCTTTAAGAGCCAGGTCTTCAGGCTCTTGCAGAACTATACATGCAATCTCATGCACCTGATTTCTCAGACAGGAGTATAAAAAAACTAAGAGGCCAACCTAAACTTACTAAAAGGGAATGGATAGAATATCAGAAGAAATTAATAAATTACAAGATGGTCCAATGAGAGATATCAAGAAAACAATGTTTAAGGCAATAGAGCACGCTAAAATACCTTTTGGAAAGACAGCTATAAAAATTACTACAAAATTTTTACCACAAAATTCAGGAACTGTACCTGAAAAACATATCACCATCCCGTATGGTGGGTATATGAATGCTAATTTGCCTTACTATCACAACCAAGAGCACACCCTTGTCCCCATTTTCCCTTTTGCCCTCAAAAACCCCCAAAAGATGCTTAAATATATATCCATATTATCATTTCAAATTTCCCAATATTTTACCCTGCTTCAGTTTAAACCGAAATTAACTAATGAACTTTAAAAAATTCAATTCTTTAATCACAGTAGCCATGCATCATTTTACGTGTGGCTAGCTAGTGAATTGGACAACACAGGTCTAGATGTTGGCTAGAGGAAGAACGCTTCAGACCTCTGGGTCAGCAAAGAATTCCAAGATTAGAGGTCTTTCACAGTGGCTTTTGTTTCCAGAAACGGATAAGTTTAAGAGTCAAAGCAAGCCCCAGCATAGATAGGTTTATTTCAACAGCATCACCTGGTCCTGTCAGGGTTACAAACTTTAAGAAGTCCAACCTATACTGTTTAGAATGACAAAAGTGTGGTGGCCTCAAGTTTCCAAATACAGTTTTAAGCTGACTTCTTTTAACCATTTTTACAAAAACCTGCAGTGTAAATCAAGCTTCAATACAGACTCAGCCTCACTAATGGACCTGCAATGATGATAATCCCAATGACTGTAGGATTCTAAAGTTAATACATGAATCAGATTTCCAACTTTCATTGCACTAGTTTTATGTTTATTCTGCGAATAACTGAAAATAAACCATAATTCAAGAGTCCTGAAAATAACAAAAGCATCCTTCCTTTCTCAGTCTTGTGCAAGAGTTAAAACTAGCCCATCCAGTGTCAAGCCTGGAATCTGGCCCTATGTGGTCCACACACTTCCAAATACCACAAAGAAATGGACTCACTTGTAGGTCCAAGCACCACCAGCTACTGTTTTCATGCAGGAACCACAGTGCCAGATCCCCACAGCTCGTCTCTTCATCTTGGTCTATAAAAAAGAACCAATTTTAACCATGAACCAAATAACAATCTTTCATCTTACAAGCATCCAGGAGTCTGTTACACAAGAAAACCAAAGCTGGTGTGTTTTATGAAGTTAAGGTATGTTTATAATACCCTGAAGTTCACTAACAGAAAAATCTGGACTCATCATGATATTACTAGGAATGTTTAAGTCCCCCTTCCCTAACAAAAAACAAAAACAAAGATTGCCATAATGCAGTACTTTGCACATAGTAAACCCCCAAACTTTTATTAAACAAAAATCCCTAGCACGTTATTTAGATGCAGACTAGACATCTTGGGGGTTGATACAGAAACATCAGTAGACAAAACGGATGGAATCATTTCCCGCAAGACAGGTCTGGCTTAGAATGGGGCTCTCTGCCAGATATTTTTGTCCTTTAGCTGCTCAGTGGTTTTAAGTGAAAAACGTTTCACAAAACCTAAAGTTACCCCGTCAACACTCGTATCTCGTACCTGATAATCAACAGTATGTGCAACACTAACTGCTCACCAGCTCACGGTTTATAAATTAACTTAAAGAAAGGCCTCATTTCGGAAGGAAACCTGCCGTCCGCCTCTCTCCCACCACCAGAGACCACCTTACTTTGCCACAGAAGGAGCAAGTGTACTTGGCGTGCTGGCTGATCTCAATTTTCTTCACCATTTTCCGGAGGGAGGCACCATAGCGGGTCCCGTATTTACCGACGATTCCGACCTTCTTGGTGCGTTTGGCCTGTTCAGAAACCAGCGATATTTAAAATGAGCTGGGACCCAAGTCTGGCGCCTCCACACCCCGTTCGTCCACCTCACCCCCGTTGTGACCTAGTTTTCCCCAAATTTCCCCTTTCTCCGAAGGCCCCGTGTTAACCCGGCCCCGGCGGGCCAGGCCCGGCCAAACCGCATCCCCCTCCGCCTCGGGTTGCGTCCGCGAGTGATGTCTCGTGCGAGGGCACGGAGACCAGGGAGGACGCGGGCCAGGGCACACGAGCAGAGGCGGGTACAGGCGAAGAAACCAAGAAAAGGACAGATGCGGTCGGATAAAAAAATCTAGGCCGCACAGGGAGCCACACTCACCATACCGCCGCAAAACAGGTCCGAGCCCAGAGAGAAAAAGACGCAATGCGCAGGCGCGGTATCAGGCGGAGGAGCGGAAGTGGCGGGCGGAGACCTAGCTAGCAACTGAGCTCTATGGTCGGGCGGTTTCCCGCAGTTCTGTCCTCCTGGAGGCGGAGCTCCCGGCGGCCTTCTGTGGAATGTTTTGGGTGGCGGGAAGTCTCTCCCCCAGCTTCACTCGGGTTCACAGACTCTAGCTACGTACACGCACATTATCTTACATATATCACAAAGGCCTGCAAAGCAGGTACGAATTTCTCCATTTTATGCACAGGGAAGCTGATTCAGATTTTAGGTGATTTGCATACTGGGACTTGGCTTAGAGAAGAGCTCGAGTCTTAAGTCTTTGACTCCAAATCTCATTTCTTTCGGTTCTCTATCCTTCCAGCTCTCTCCAAGGGGTCAGCAGGAAAAAGCCAGATTTCCAGTTGAGACGGGAAGTAGAAGATGTGTTCCGTGACTAGGCACATGGTGTTATTTCCTCGTGTAGAACACACTAGAAAGTTCGCTGCCTCTTCCCAGGGGGTGGTTAGGCCAGAAGAGAAGAAGCTCAGAGAACTGCTGAAATAAAAGTGTGAGAACAATCCCTGATTTAAGCACCAAGAAAGACCACGAAGCCTGAAAGGCACCGTGGGGCTACCTGGCTGTGTTTCCAATCAGAGCTCCTGTAACAAGTAGGTTCAGTTCACAAAGCTTAATATTAAGTGTCTCAAGATAACTTTGCATGTGTTTTTCACAATTATATTAAAAGCAACTTGCAGACAGCTGCACACTTCATATGCTTACAACCTACGAATCCTTCATGATTTGAATTCAATACTGGAAGAATCACGGCCCCTCAGGGGCAGCAGAAGCGGTAATGATAGCACCAGCTGGCATTGTCGAAAGACAACATATTGTAGACACTGAGTGTTTTACATGGATGTTCTCATTTATTTTCATCATGATCCTTTATGATAGGAACAATTGTTATTAAGATAATGAGAGGAAGTCTCATACAATGGTTAGCAACATGGGAGTGCCGCCTTGCCCTAAAAAAAAAAAAAGGAACATTAGGCTCAGGAATCAGACTGTCTGGTTTCAAAGCGGAGTTCTGCTACTTACCTGCTGTGGGACCATTGACAAGTTATTTTACTTTTCTTTTTTATTATTATTACTTTTTTCTTTTTAAGGGGAGCAGTTAGGAGGGGGGTTCAATTTCCTTTCCTTTTTTTTTTTCTTTTTTTTTTTGAGACAGGGTTTCACTCTGTCACCCTGGCTGGAGTGCAGTGGTGTCATCGTAGCTCACTGCAACCTCACACTCCTGGGCTTAAGCGATCGTCCTGCCTCAGCCTCCAGAGCAGCTGGGACTACAGGCACATGCCACAACGCCCAGCTAATTTTAGTAGAGACGGGGCCTCACTCTCAAACTCCTGAGCACAAGGAATCCTCCCGCCTCGCCTCCCAGAGTGCTAGGATTATAGGCGTGAGCCACTGCACCTGGCCTTATTTTACTTTTCTGTGGTTTGGTTTCCTCAGCTATAAAATCTGAATAATTGTAATACCTACTTCATAAAGTCGCTGTGAAAAGTCAATGAATTAAATGCATGAAAAGCGTTTGCCACAGTGCCTGGAAAATAGTAAACACTATACAATTGTAACTATAGTTTTTGCTATTATTATTCCAGATGAAGAAATTTAGGCTCGGAGAAGTTGAGAACCTTGCCCAATGTCACACAGCACTAGGTGTGAACTCAAATCCAGGTCTGTCTGACCCCAAAGTCAGTCTCTTATTGCTGACTTATACTACACCGTGTCATAATTAGAGCACTGAAAAAGCATAGTAGGAAATATACTTGACTTGGAATCAGGTCTCTGGCACTTTGTCTAAGCCAGGCTCTGTAACTACCTTGCGATATGACTTTGGGTGAGCCACAGTCCCTGCATGGAGAACCACCTCCCCACCTCCTAGCAGCCACCATCTGTACTTACAGCGGGAGGCTGGACCAGATGCTCTCCAAGATCCCATTCAGTTCCCACCTTCTGTGAGTCCAGGAAGAGCTTCCAGACTTGGAGTGCAATTGGGGCAGTGACTGACCATGCACTTTGTGTTAACACCGTCTTGTACCTTTTTGTAAAAAAAAAATAGCTTTCTCTTTATCCTCCCCAATTTGTTACCCCAGCTCTGGCTGTATAAATTCAAGGAGGAGAAAAAGCAAAAAGTCTTTTTTGTGGTAGTGGGTAGTGAGAATAGTTAAATTCATTTTTGTCTTCATACATTTCCATGTTTTCTAGTTATCTTTTATAAGAAGCATGC